GGATGTGGCAAGGGTCAAGGTCACCATACATCAGTAGAAACTTGCATACTTGCAGGATTAACACTGTCTGAATTCCAGGAACCAGCTGAGCATGATCAAGATAAGCTACAGTCCATATTTTAGACTGGGGATTGGCAGCAAACCACAGCAAACCACAGACTTGGGGGGGGGGAGTAAGTGTTTTCATATGTGTTATATGGGCCTTCTCATCCCAGCCTTCCAGCCAGGCCCAGCTGCATGTTTCTGATGGCCCATGACCTATCTGTGACCTCGTCAGAGTCTTTCTGTAACTACTCATTCTAAGCAAGATGTCCCCTCCTCACCAAGTTTTACTATACCAAGTTCACATCATCATACAACTTGTGTGTCCACATCTTTTCTTTACATGTTATTTTCTGCCTTTCCTATCAGATAGTGAGTTCTGCCATAGCAATAGGGCATAGACAGTGCTTAGAATATATCTTCTAGTGAATAAATACTAAATACACAGGTGGCACCAAAAGTAAAGAAAAGGTTGAAGCTCACTAATGTGTCACTATTCTGTTTACACAAATGGCCTTGTTTGTAGTCAAAACATACTGGGTCCTTTGGATGTCTTCAAGGAGAGTTCTACTCTAGTGAGTAGAGCTTGAGGCTGTAAGTTTGACTTGCTTTGTACAGCATTCGGCACAGCCCCAAGCACAGATGGGAGCGTCATAAATATTACTGAATGATGATGACACCAAGGGTTATTTAATATCTCCGTGTGGGTGGAGACGGACCTTGGGCCACAAATATACTTTGAATGTGCATTGCTTCTCAAATCATCTGTACCATAATGTTTTCAACAATGCAGCTCATCTGTGCCACAAATCAGTCACATTGAGATGACAGAGTCCCCAAAGAATGCCATTTTCAAAGAGGAAACTTTATTATCCGGGGGTAAGTGCAACCTTTGTTTTATTAAACACTGTGAGGATAGAAATTAAAGACAATGGAAGTCTCTTTTGGGGAAACATCAGATTTATCTGCGAATAATGAAAGTTTGGATAATTTACCAGTTTCAAAGGTGCCCACCCATTTTGAAACACCAGGAGTAACTGGGCCTTTGGATATATCTCAAGCATTCAACTGCTACCCTGGTATTTATGGATACAATCCTATGGTTCTGTTCATTTAAAATAATAATACTAAGTAATTTGGGAAACCACAAGAAGATGGACTTTTGAAGCTGCATTTGTTCACCAGGAAGAAAGAGCTTATAAAGTGTCTATCATGAGAATCCACAGGGGAGCAGCCCAGCAGATCAAATACCCAAAACAAATCAGCAGGTCAGAGCCCCACAGAATTCTGAATCCCAACCAGCAAGCATGAATAATCCTTTTAAACGGTCACTCACGTATCAGAACAGGCCCTTTGTGAGTCTCTAGGCAAGGGCCCTGGCCTCTGACTGAATGGACGTTGTCTTGGGAAAGTAGATGATGCAAAATCAAGAGCTACTGGGACATTTCCACAAGAGAAGAGGACAAATGGTTTCTGTCGTTAGAATGAAACTTCCCACTGCCGGCCATGGTTTGGAAAGCTGTTGGCTACCTCACAGGAGAGCTGGACAATGTTTTCATCAGTGTTGGCTGGGTCTCTCCAGATCCCTGAGAAGCTACAATAGTAACCTATATCAGAAGCACAGGGTCAAATCCTGCCAGTTTCCAGTTAGCTGTGAGACCCAATACAAGGCTCTTAACTTTTCTGATGACTGGTTCATTAATATGAAGAGAGGAATGACTGACAAAATGTCCTCACAAAACTATTGCCAGTTTAAGCAAGATATATATTGCTTAAATATAGCAAATTCTGTCTAAATTATAAAATTGTATTTAAGCAGAATCCTGGAATATCAAGTAAGCTGCACAGTGCCCAGGATCCTTTCCTTGGGCACATGTACCATATGGCATTCACTCACACAAACATACATGTACACATAAATAAAAATAAAATCCTTTAACAAAAAAAACTACTCCACTTACAACAGGCTCAAAATATGGAAATAGCAATAAATTTAACAAAACCTGTAAGACATCTGCACTAAAAACTTCAAGTTTTTATGTAAGAGAAATTGAAGAAAATCTATTTAGAAATACATCCACAGATTGGAAGATCCAATATTAGTAAAATGTAATCCTCCTCAGATGGCTTCACAGATTCAACAGAATCTCTATCAAGGTACCAACCAGCTCTGATGTGAACTCTGATGTGACATATCAATTCTAAAATGCCTGTAGAAATGGAGAAAGCCTAGGAAATATATACATACTAACTAGGCAAAGAATGAAAATGACTGGATGGGTGGCCTCCTGATTTCAGTGTAGTGTCTTTGTAAAAAGCCAGTAAAATAAATGGAATAGGATAAAGAGTCCAAAGAGATCCACATAAGCATATGATGGGCCAGTTTTTAACAAAGAAATCAATACTGTTCAATGAAGAGAAAAATTCCTCCCATTAATAGTGTTGGAGCAACTGAACGTGGGGGAAAAATGATCCTCAACCGTTACCTCACACCACACATTAAAATGAACTGAAAATTGAAAGCGCAAATGTAAATGTTATGACTGTAGCTATTCACAAGAAAAACACAGGGGAAATATCCTTCTGCTCTAAAGAGTAGTGTGTAGCCATTTCCTCCAAAGACCATCCATCTTGGAAGGAATCTCATTAAGATTCAGGAAGTAAACAACTGAATGGCTTCAGGAAGTCCCTGAAACTGGCCAGATATGATAGGTCCCTCTTCCCCCACACATATATAAGTTGTAAGAACTGTTAAGAGACCCTCAGATAAGCTGGGCTCTTTAGGAGAAGTTCAGACCAACCAAGCCACCTGGGAGGAACAGACCAGCCAGCTACCCAAGGAAGCTCAGGCCACCTGAATGGCTGGAAGGGCACTCTCCAACCTACTGAGCAGCCTGCAGGTTGTGCTGTGTGCTCCAGAGTTCCAACTTTGATGAGCGGTCACCCATGCTGAGGTGAGCTTTCAGCGATGCCACTGTCGTTAAGTCACCTCTTCTCCTGGAAGTAACCCTTCCCTCAAACTCAGGTAAGCAACCCCACTAAAACTTGGTCCACCACGTTGGACCTTAGTGGTATCCTTACTTTGGTCTGTCTTCAGTAGATGCTTGCTCATATATCCCAAGAATAGTATCACACAAGAGTAAACAAATATCTCTCATAGAAGTTAAAAGCATTTGTAGTAACAATATAATTAGTGAAGCATAAGAAAAAAATTAGTAAACTGGATTCCATAAAAATTCAGAATCTCTGATCATCAAAAGTCACTAATTAGAAAATGAAAAGCGGAGATATTTCAGTCGTATCATACTTGCCCAAAACCCATGTTAGAAAGCTGGGTAAGGGGGCAGGTGAGTGATTCCAACCCTGGGAAGGCAGAGACATGTGGATCCCTAGCCTATGTGATAATTTCTAGGCCAGTGTGGCCAACATCTGAGGTTGACTTCTGGCCTTCATATGCATACACAGAGGTGTAGGGCAGGGGCGGGCGGGGGGGGGAGTAGAGGCAAGCTACAGTCAGGGAAAATACAGACAATACTATATTTGACAAAAGACTGATCCAACAAATATAAAAACCTCCACGAATCATTAACAAAAAACACAGTAGCAAACACAAGCCCCCACATTGCTGAAAAACATGTAAGACAGAAAACAGTTTGTCAGCTTCTTAGATATACAACTATCCTAAAACCAACATTTATTCTTAGATATTTACCCAGGACTAATTGAAGTGTGTCAACAACAAAACCTTTAAATAGCTACTGGCTACAGAGAGCCCAGACGTCTATCAATGAGAAACTGGAGAAAACAAATGATAATGTTCTCATATATTAATAATATACAGCATAACAAGGAGAGATGTTGGTGGCGCACGCCTTTAATCCCAGCACTAGGGAAGCAGAGGCAGGCGGATCTCTGTGAGTTCGAGACCAGCCTGGTCTACAAGAGCTAGTTCCAGGACAGCCTCCAAAGCCACAGTGAAACCCTGTCTCGAAAAACCAAAAACAAACAAACAAACAAACAAACAAAAAACAAGGAGAGATGTGCTTTTGACGTATGCAATGATAAGGATAAATTATGAAACCCTGTCTCGAAAAACCAAAAACAAACAAACAAACAAAAAAAAAAAAACCAAGGAGAGATGTGCTTTTGACGTATGCAATGATAAGGATAAATTTAAAAGGAGGAGAAGAATGACGCAGCAAAGGATCGACTCTTCTATAATATTGAACACTGTTGGAAAGCATCAGGTACAGGAACAGCAATAGAAATCAGTGGCAGAGTGCTTCCCTAGCATGTCCGAGGCTCTGGATTTGATCAAATCCAGGCCCCACTATCATGGGCCTCCAGAGTGAACCTCCTGTTGGGTGCTCTATGCACACCATCATTCCATTCTTACAACAACCTGTGATGTAGCATCCCTGTTTTCACTCACTTGATGAAAATGAAAGCTGAGTCTAGTATATAATATAATCTGATCTCAAACTCCATGCTCTTTTCTTTTTACTTATATATACCCTCAGATTTGGGAAGACAACATATTTATGAGATACTCACTATGTTTCAATTAAATGCATATGGATGAACAGAAACTATTAAATGAAACAAGCCAACAACAAAGAAGTCTATCGTAGAGAATTCTAGTTATATGACTTTTGGAACAAGCAAGCACCGGTGGGGACAGAAAGCATGACCTCATCCATACCTCACCACAATCTATGTAAGGATGCTATTGTCAGCATCCCTATATTACAGATAAGAAAAGTAAGACATGGAGATCAAATAAGAAAGAACAATCCAGCTCAGACCACCTGATTTCTACATGGCTATACCACACCATATTCCCAAGTCTCCAGGCTGTCACCCAGCTTGCAGTGGAGCAGGGAGAATGAGAGCCAGTTACCAACATAAGGTCTTGACATCAGAGGTCTACTGTGAGTCACAGTAACATCCTTGCTTACCTGTCCAGAGCCATGCTGGTTGGCATACTCCTCCCGAACCCTCGAACCCCCATCTGACGGAAATACGGAATGCAAGAGAGGTTGGCGGCAATGATGGCAAGTGAGTCCGAGGGACTCACAAAGAAGCCATTTTGGCCAAGGATCATATAACGGTCCTGTGAGAAGGAATGTGTGAAAATTACCACAGAGAAGCATCTGGTCATCATACCCAGCTTCCAACATCAGCACAAGCCATTTTCCTGCCATTTAAACAACCTGAGACAATTGGAATAGGTCAAAGGAAGCATGGGAAACCATATAAATTCCTCGGGGGCCCAGAATACAGCGGGAATGTGCTCCACCTGTTGGGATGTGTGCACTGCTACCTCGTGTATCCGTGACCTCCACAGACTCAACCCCTTCCTCCCCCACACAGACTGGAGAGTTGTTAGTAACTGGTAAAGAGCCAGTTCATTTATGTGATGCCTTCAGCAAAGCCAGAGATAAATGAAAATTGATTGTCTATCTTCTTAAAGAAATAATTCCTCCTGAACGTACATCAATCTGAAACTAAAAAAAGCTGTGCCTGCTTCACGGTGTTATCTAGCACTGAACAGCAGAGCAGAGGCATGCCCCATGTATGTTTACTCCAGGTTCTCTGGCTTCTGGTACTTCTCCCATCACGTGGGGAGCAGGACACAGATGGGGAAGCCTCCCACTTACCCCATCAGCATCAAACGCAGCTCCAAATCCATACTCTCCCCCTTTCATGGCTTCCAGAAGGGTGGTTGCATATGTCAGGTTTGGGTCCGGGTGCTGACCTCCAAAGTCTTCTAGTGGGACACAGTTTATAGCAGAGTTGGCCGGGGCCCCCAGCTCATCGCACAGAACTTTTCTCACATAGGGTCCCATAACTAAAAAAAGATAGACGAGAATATAAAAATACTTGAAGAATACTCTTCCCTAGGTTTTTTCTTCTGGTTAGAAAAAGGCAAAAACAACTTGCTTAAGAGCCTTGAAGAAAAATAGAAATTATACCGTCACTTTTTGTTTTTTAGGACACAACATGAAAAATAATAATCATATCAATTACCACTTATTGAGCATCTACCAAGTGTCAATCATCCAGTGAGATGAAATTATTTTCCTTATGGTTTCCTAAAACACTGCCTTATAGAAATCAACTCAATAATAACGATTTATTACCTGCTGGTTTTCATGTATTAAGCACTTCAACTGAGCATATCAAAAGCACTAAAGGGAACTATTAATTCTCTTATTCTCTTTGCATAATTGTTGTAACATTGCCAAGTTACACATCCAAATCCCAGAAGCTTCATAAAAAATAAAGCACCTCCTGCAAAACAATGAATGCTATGCAATAGTAGCAGTTATGTGGACCAGGAGACCCAACGTTGAACCCCTATGTTAAGAACTCAAAGGATCAGGTTAAAGAGGGTGAGATGCATGACTCTTCTATTCCTGGGCTCTTATCTAATACTGAGACAAGTCATATCTTCAGAAGAATAGAGAAGTGAGACCAAAAGGGAGATATCTAATGGGACACCATGACTTATAAAAACAACACCCATCGGTGAAACTTCCCAAAGAAAGCAGTGTTTTGAGTAGGACTTGAGGGAAGAATATAAATCTGAGAAGTGTGTTAGTAGGGGGACCACACAAGTGGAAGCCATTAAAGCAAGAGAGAGCCTGTGATAGGGCCACCATATAGTCCTCTCAGCTGAAATGTGTGTGAGATCACTTTCCTGTGGTTTCTCCCAACACAATACAGTTCTCATACCATGAACATCTCTTGTCTTGTGACCCAGTCCCTATGTCCCCTCCTCTAGAGGAAGCATCAGTTTTCTTTCAGAAAATCACATCTTTCTCCAAATCAACTCATGCAACTAGGGTATGGCTAAAACACTGCCCCCTCAGGTAGGGAAGTGACCTACATCTGACCACTGTGTCCCCCAATCCTCAACCAGGGTGCCTGATTTGAAGATGGACATAATGAGCTGCAAACACAGAAATTCAGCTGTCTTTTCCCTGAGCCAGATCAGGCCAAGGACTCAAAAGAGCTTTTCCTAGAGAATAGCATCAGTCCAAGAAAAAGGACAAAACATCCCAACCACAAACCCTCAGAGCAAAGCTCCTGGAAGATGAGACCCGAGTGCACTCAGAGGTCCCAACTGATGCTCAGCATGCAAGGAAGCCAAAGGTCACGAAGATCTTGAGGAACACTCTAAATATGAGTCTGAAACAAACAGCAAAGAGGAACCTATTCACACAGGGAGAATGCCTTAAAAGAGATGAACAGGATGGAGCAAAATGGCGGAAACAGAAAAGGTGGCACACGTGAGCACTTGTAGGAATGCAGACACTGAAGCCCTCAACATTGCTGGTGTGTTTGTAAAGGGAACAGCTGCTTTGGCCAACAGCTGAGTTCTTATGTAGTTCAGAAAATACTACCATTAGACTCTTCAACCCTGTGTCTAGAAATTTACCCAAAACAAATGAAAACATACATTCCCACAAAGACCTGTTTGTGAATATTCATAGCACCTTTAATTGTAGTAGCCAAACACTTGGGGTGGGGAAAGCTAATTTTTATCAACTAGCAAATAGATAGACAATTGTAGTACATCAACACAGTGGGATATTACTCAGCAGTAACAAAGAACAAGAAGAGACACACGTTCCATGAACGTCATAAAAAAAATAAAAAATAAAAACAGTATGCTCAATGAAATGTGAAGCAAAAGACTACTGAGCTTATTCTTTCATTTATATAACCGTCTAGAAAAGGCAAAACAATGAAGGCGGAAGAAAGATAAATGATTGCCAGTAGCAGCTGCTGGGAGACGTGGAGAGTTGACCATAAAAGTCCAGTAAGAACCCCATATTCTTCAAAAATGAAAAGTTAATAAAGAATTATATATTTGTGGTATTCATAAGAAGGCAATAAATACCTTTAAAATCACTAGAGGAGTTGAAAAAGGTTGACACCAGAAAATAGGACACTGACTGCCAAAAGGAATTGGGCATCCATGTTTTTCATAATTTTATTCAGCTGTTTAAGTTATGGAATGTAGCATGATTTTTTAAAAAAGCCAATAAATAGGTAATCTTGATCTGCTTTACACTCACATGGTCCAGTCCCAAAGTTGCTTGTTCAATTTTTGTTTTCATTTACATCAAAAGAAAGTAGCCAGAGCCTTGAAATTTTCTAGAACATTCCATATATCCGAACATGTAGAGGTCCTTAACAGTTCTCAGCCACTGCTTTTAGAAAAATACAAGCTCAGGCTGGAGAGATGGCTCAGAGGTTAAGAGCACTGACTGCTCTTCCAGAGGTCCTGAGTTCAATTCCCAGCAACCACATGGTGGCTCACAACCATCCGTTATGAGATTTGGTGCCCTCCCTCTTCTGGTGTGCAGATATACATGGAAGCAGAATGTTGTATACATAATAAATAAATAAAATCTTTTAAAAAATTGTGATCTCATGTCTGACAGACAAGTGTTTAAAAAAAAAAAAGAAAAGAAAAATACAAGCTCACCTCCGTGCATGGCATCAACTCGGATCTTCAGCTGGCTAGGCCCAGTCAGCAAACTCTTGATAGCATTAAAGTCAAAGATTGTTCGAAGAAGGTTGAGATAGATGTCAACGGGGTCCACAATCTCCACTGAAGGTGGGAAAACAGGGATGGGAGGATGTCAATGGGCAGACCCAGAAATCATCTCTAGAGGCACAAAAAATTTACTACCCTAATGATGCAAAGTTCTGATCAAAATCCCATCTAACCCACATGCTACGTGGGCAGGGAAGGGTTCATTTGTAAGCAAAAACTCAAATCACAGCACAATCAAAATGTAACAAACTTTTCAGATAAGTAATGGTACAAAGAATATTCTACATTTTTCCTGCAAGGTAAAATTAACCACTAGAAGAGTTTAGGATGCAAATGCACTGTCATCCCTGCCCACACCTTCTCTACACCTCCCTCCCCTGGCTACACACACACAACAATGCTAACAAGCATCCCACATATGCAGAGGTCTTCCTGTGGGTTAGCCAAAGAATGACTCAGCTGGTGGGAAACATGTAAAGGAGTGACCTCAGCTGTGGCCCTTGTTTTCCAAGTGCTACAAAAAACACACTGGATCCAAGCACAGAACTGTGATGTAGGGCTGGATTCTGATTTCACATAAACCCTCTTTCACACCCTGACTACCACCTAATTTCCAGGGTAATGCCAAACATCTGCAGCTCCTCAGGAAGCACAAAAGCTCTCCAGTGTGTCACTGAGAATCCCAAGTAAACCTTCTTATTTAACTCATGAAAACCAGCACACAGAACAAGGCGCCATTTTCAAACATCTACCTGTACATAACTAGTGCCCAGAAAGCATTTTTCCTAGGAGAAGTAAATGTTTGAGTTTGGGGAAACTAAAATTTTGTCTAGGAAAGCAGTCTTTTTTAAATTTGTAGTTACATCTATATCTATTATCTCTTTAACTGTGTGTGCGTGAGCGCATGTGTGTGGCTGTATACACACATTTAAGGATGTGCACATGAGTGCAGGTGCCTCCAGATGCCAGAGTCATTGGATACCCTGAAGTTGGAGTGGAGGGTAGTTATTAGCTTCCTGGGTGCTGGAAACCAAATGATATTCTGGAAGAGCAGTAAGTGCTCATAACTAGAAAGCCATTTTTCCAGCCCCCTATAATTAAATTTTTAAAGTTATACAAATCTATTACTTTTCAATGTCATACTACTTTGGAGCTGAAACACTTAGGCCTACGTTAAAGATATTATCAATCAATAATTTGTCAGTAACCCAGGTACAATATTTAATATGTGATATAAATTACTCCTTCATCTGGCCAAATGTCTCAAAATGTTTCTCTTACATTTAAATTGACATATGAATATCTACTCAAATTTAATTACTTTTTAAGGCACACAGACTATATTTAGTCATCTTCTGATATATGAAGAATATTAATTCAGAAAATAATTAAAAACCGCTGTCTGTGAACTATACATCTGAAATGCTTAATTTTATGCTGTGAATGCTTTAGACATTTTACTTACTCAATAACATAAGATATTTTTGGGAATTTCATTCTGGTTCTTCAGCTCTTGAGTCATTTGTCTAAAAATATTTGATATTCACCAGAGACCGTTCAAGGAAGCAAGTCATTCAGGAAAATCGAACACTCCCATTATCTAATACATGTTCTTGACACCATAAGCTGACATACCAAGGACTGTTTATTTTCAATTAATTCAAGCATTGCTCATCACTTAAAACAGTAGGAATATAGCACATAAATTACCTCAAAGGATTATCTTTGGGAATGAGAAAAACTTCCACCTACTTCCAGACTATTACTTTAGAGAAGTCACTCAAGGAACAGTGTGGGTGCAGCAAAGAGTTCCCCAAATACTCAAGTCTCTCAGAAACTATGAAATCATAAACATGCTTCTTCAGTCTCCCAAGTTCTGTGGTTATATTGTGTGCCACTCTGCCAGGCTTGGTTGTTTAATTCTTGGACCACTTGCCTAAACACACTCAGTAATTACCGAATTCCTTTGTAAAATCTCTGGACACAGTACTTGGTATAGAGCAGGTGGTCAACCTTAATGTGTAAAGCTAAGCAGAACTGCATGGCTCTGACCTGGCAGAGACTCCTACCTCTCGAGGGAAGTTTAACAATCCATTGGCTTTTATCTCTCTAAACTTAGATTTCCCCATATCCTCAACTTAACTGTTTAGGAATTATTCAAAGGCAAGTTTTGGTCATCCACAGTCTATTCCATGTATGCAATGATGGAGTCAACCAAAATCTTTTCCTATGTTGAAAACAATACAGTTTGGATAGTGGCTTTTGAAAGTGTCAAGATCTAAATACAGAGATTTTTCCAGTTTCTTTCTGCACTGCATATACTTTTATTATAACGTCAACCTGAGCCACTCCTTAAATGACTAATTCAGTATTTCTCATGAGAATCCTTGCCTACAGAAACCACTGATCACCAATAAGGACTTCTGAAACCTCATGCATACCTGGACTCCACCATACACACCCCTCTTCATGGATTTTTTTTTTATTTCTTCAAATTGTGTGTTACCTCTGAATGGTTTGAACTTGTTCTCCAGGTCAAATTCTTGTCTCCCAAGTCGAGATAGGTCAATTCGAAGATCAGGACATATGGCGTATTCCTCAATTGTTTTGCTGATCTGGTAGATTTTGTCTGAGACAACATCTGGTGCAGGACCTAAAATGTGACACCCAAATGTGTTTAATTTAAAGCCTTCGGAATTTCAATCAGAGAAACATTACTGGCCCCAGGCACTAGAAAGGAGGGACACATCTGGTCTCTCCACAATGAACAAAGATCCACAGTTCAATTAGACAAGGTATTTCCCAGGTTGTATTCATTCACTGTAGAGGATATTTGATCAGCCCTGCCTTTTCTATGTAAACTAACAACCCACACATGTGTTTTAATCTGCTTCCAAGCAATGATACATATAACTCTAAAAATAGCTTTGCACCTGCTGGGGAGACCCGGTTATGTAATTAGCTTTATTTGGGATATGACGCACAAACAGGACATGCGTTTGACAGAAGTGAGGACTTCCAGATTTAAACCACAGCTCTCCAAATGAACTTAAAAAAATTATCTCTTCTTACCCAACCTATTTTACTGCTCCCATATTATTTTGAAGAAAATCTTAGGAACGATAAGCATTTTTTGTAAGTATAATGATAAGGGCCTCTAAAGGATGAGATTGTTGGAAAATAATATGTATATGGTTATAATGGTTAAAACAAACAAAACCTTAGCCGCATTAAAGAGCAAATCAGTGTTCTTATTTAAAAAAATGAAAAAAAGTATCTCTTCTTACTACTGTCTCATTGATATGTGAGCTTTTCCAGGTAATTAATTTTTCTAGTTCACACTTTCCAGCACAACTAGTTTTAAACTGAGGGATAACTAAAAATACTTAGCAGATTTATCAGAAGGTCAAATTGGCAACAGTGATGGAGAGACAGATTTTAAATGAGTTGAGTATGAAATCAGTAGTTGGTTTCCTCCTCCCTTTAAACACATATGCCTTCACATGAGGCTTCATTGGGTTTTGTTTGATCTTGGAGAATGTTAGGAATTAAATAAATAAGTATAGTGAATGGCCTTAAATATAAAAGACAACTAGATAGTTTTGAGTGCGAATCATAGTTGCTGACTACAGTATAGCTTCCTACTGAGCAGAAACTGTGTCCAGATACATTTCATTTCCTACTCCATAGAGCTGTAGCTCCTACTGAGCAGAAACTGTGTCCAGATACATTTCATTTCCTACTCCATACTGTACTATCCAATACAATGACCATCCGCCACATTTAGCTACTGAGTAGCTGAAAATGTCAGTAGTCAAACTGAAGCTATAAACTGCTACAATTGTAAAATGCATATCAAAATTTTAAGTTAGTACAAACACCATATAACAGGTTATATTAACATTTTATGTTTATATATTGAAATGTTTGGATATAGTATGTTAAATAAATTATATTACCTAGACATCCTTATAACATTTTAATACAAGTATTATAAAAATGTTAAATACTATATATGGTTCATAATACATTTGTATTGAATAAAGCTGCTTTCTTAGAATAAGAAACAATGTCTATAAAAAGGAATGGCAATAGCCCCATTCCAACAGGTAAGGCAGAAGACAGCTTCATTGGTTACATCAACTATTCTCTTACATTGGATGATTGAAAATCTCAAACACACAGAAGGGCCTGGGAGATAGATGAGTCAGTAATGTGCTTTGCCATACAACCATGAGAACCTGAGCTGACACAATGTAAAAAGCCAGGCCTATAACCCAGTGCTAGGGGACCGGGGTAGAAAAACAGGATTCTAGGAACTCACTGGTCAGTTAATCTAGCCAATCACTTCAGTGAGAGAGACCTTGTCTCAAAAGACAAGGTGGACAGTGACAACAGAAGCCACCTGATGTCAACCTCTGGCCTTCAAATATGCACACAGCTACATATACATACATACATACATACATACATACATACATACATACATAGGTACACATGTACATACAGTAGAGAGAGAGAGAAAGAGAGAGAGAGAGAGAGAGAAATGCACAAAGCCTTTTTCCTTTATTCATTGTCATTTGAAAATGTTTTTAAATTATTTATTTTTATTATTTTTAATTTGTGTATGCATGGTGTGTGTGTGTGTGCACATAATTGCAAGTATTCACAGAGGGCGGGGGATTGGATCCACTGGAGCTGGGGTTACAGGCAATTGTAAATCATGTGATTTAAGAGTCAGTTACAGTTACTGGGAATCAAACTTGGATCCTATGGAAGGGCAATGCATGTCCTTAACCACTGGGCCATCTTTCTAGCCCCTCCTTACCATTTTTTACCCTTCACAAAAACTTTTTTAAAAGAAGAATCTTGTTTTGTGTTTGAATTTTTAGGTTTGCCAGATCAAAAAGGGTTTACACACACAACACACACACACACACACACACACACACACACACACACACACACACACACACACACACACACACACACACACACACACACACACTTAGCTATAAGAAGTCAACAGATAACATACAGAGGGGGCTGAGCAGGTTTCCAGCCTAGAGGGAGAACTGAACATCAACATTTTTATTGGTCTCCTCGTTCTCAAAACATACTTAAAAAGCAAGTTGATTTCAAATATGCCCCCACGTACCTGAGCCTACTAAGTATATAGATAAGTTCCATCCTCAAGGAGCATCAGTTTAATACATAGTCAGGAGAGATAGATGCTGTAACTTTAGAAGATGAATGTCGTGATAAAATACACTCTAAGGAGGAAGAAGCTGAGTCTTCCCTTGCCATTAGGAATGTTCATTTCATGAGACATGCAAACATGTTAGAAGTTAAATTACAAGTTAGAATGGTAGAAGGATTTTCAACGTAAGTAAAGGCTTAGTGATAAGGTCATCCACAAACCCTCTCATTAAAGCATAACGTCCTTACATTGTCATCTACAAAGTGGGTATATAAATTGCTTTGGCTTGGCTATAGCTAATGCCCACCAATGGTTCACATTGGTCCACTCTGTGTTGGTGCTGATGTCGCAGGACCTTTGGCCTAGTGAAAAGCAGTTAAGTTGATGGAAGTACCATCATCAGATGAGATTAATGCCATTCTTATGGGACACTGTTGAGTTCCTCAGAGAGGAATGTTGTTATACAAAAGAGTAATTCTAGCAAGTTCCAGGTCAGTAAAACATCTTGTCTCTAAAAAAAAAAAAAAAAAAAAAAAAAGGAATAACCCTAAAGGTTGACCTCTGGCCTCTGGAAATTGACCTCTGGCCTCTATATACATACACATACATGTATATACACAGATACACACAGATACACACACAGAGAGAACAAAATGATTACTATGGTAGAGCAAATTAACTTACCTATCATCACACAAGCAGTTTTTTGTAGCAAAACAAGTAAGATAAAACTGAAAAAAAATCATGACTATATTGCAATTCAGTCATCCACAACACTCATCCTGTACATTATATCCTCAGAGTTGTTCATCCAACATGTCTGTTGCTTGGTGACCTCTGATCTCTAGTTCCCCAGTTCCCCTCCCCCATGCCCTCACCAACAATGACAAGTGTTGTTTTATTCTCCATCTCTGTATAGTTGACTATAGTTGACTCCACCTGTAAGTAAGCTCACACTTGTTTAACTTGGCAGAATGTCCTCCAGGTCCATCCATGTTGTGACAAATGACATTTGTGTATCATGTGTGTATCACATTCTTCATCCATTCATCTACTAACAGATAGTTGGGTTATTTCTATATCTTAGCTATTGTGGACAATGCTACAAAAAAATGGAAGTGCAGATTTCTTCTCCATATAGTGATCCAACATTGTATGTAGAAGCAGAAGAGACATGGCTTGCTCTTAGGAATTTCCACTTTTCCCCCATACTGTTTTCCTTAATGGTTGTGCCAATCTATGATCTAGCCAGCTGTGCTAGGCTTCTCTTTCTCTGCATCCTCTCTACCATTCATCTCTTACTATTTCATAGTAGCCATTCTAGAAAGTATAAGGTGATAGTCCATATGATTCTTCAATTTGTTATTTTATTTTCTAACATGTGCTCTGCCTAAACAATGTTCTACATGTCCTGGGGGAGAACATGTACCCTGCTGCTGCCATGCAAGAGCAAGTTATATTCATGCCTGCAAGGTCCATTTGGTTCAAAGTGCAGTTCAAATCCCATATTTTCTTGAAAACTTTCTGTCTTGTTGATCTACCCATTGTTGGAAATGGGATATTGAAATCCCCTGCTATTGTTCTGATGCCCATTTCTTCCTTCATATCTATTAAGATTTGCTTTACATATTCAGGAGCCTCAGCACTGAGCACATCCAGGTTAATAATTCCTATGGCCTCTTAGTGGACTGATGCCTTTATCATTACATGACAACCTTCTTTTTACCTTGTAATACTTATTTGACTGGAGTTGTATTTTACCGAAGTGTTGCCAACTTTGATTTCCTTTGCTGTCTCTCTTCCAGAAATATCTTTTCCTGCCCCTTCCCTTTCCGTTTATGTGTGCTTGTAAAGCTTCAAAGAGTCAGTTACAGGCAGCAAGGAGATGGCTCTTTTCGATATCCATTCAGCCACTCCGAATATTTCAGTTGAAGATGTCAATCCATTTACATCCTGGGGCATTACTCATAAGTACTAACCCCAGCCACTTAGTTGACTGTTGTTTGGTTGTTTGCTGGGCTCTTTGTTACTATCTTCCACTTTTTGTATCTTCTTTTGTGGCTTGGTGATTTCCTATAGTATTAATTTTTAATTACTTCCTCAGGTATAGACTTGCTGTAGCTTTTCCTTGTAATTAGTGTGTGTGTGTGTGTGTGTGTGTGTTTCACATTCAACATGAATAGTTTATTTTTTAAATAATGTGCAAAATGGCTTCAGAGAAAGAACAATAATAAATTCATCTTCACAATGTACTCTTGTGCTGTTTTGCCTGGGGCCAGGAATAATTCACAATAATAACTGGTTTTTATTAAAGTTCAGCTTGTGCTTTTCATAAGCAAACATATTTGATATTCTAGATTAAAAGAGACTGAAGAGTCTTAGTAAACAAATGTACAGTTCTGAGATGCATCTCTTTTTTAAAAATGAAATAGCTGTAAATAACACTTTGATAATCACTGGGAGGAAAAGTGACTAGAGATTAGGTTTCATATGATGTTAGAGGGTTAGTGTTATTTTTTGTTAGGTATGTGATGGTTAATCTTCATTGTCAACTTGACTGGATTTGGAGTCACCTAGGAGACAACACCTCTTGAGGTTGTTTCTAATTGGGGAGGGAAGGTGTGGGTGGCACCGTTCCATGGGCTGAGGCCTCACACAGAATAAAAGGGGAAATAGAAAGAAGCCAACTAAACCCCAGCTTTTTCTTCCTTCCCCCATTTTCCCTCCCTACTTTTCCCTCCCTCATCAGCAGCCTCACTTTCCTGCCCCACACACCTTCCCTTCCATGGCAGACTGTATCTCCTCAACCTGTGAGCCAACACAAACCCTTCCTTCCTCGAGTTGCTTCACATCAGGAATTAGAAACAACAAGAAAAGCAAGTAGCCGGCATGTTACTATAGTTGTGTGGGAATGTGTCTTTCTTTAAAAAACAAACACCAAAATATTTAGGTATAGGGTCTGCATACTGAATTTTGCCTTACAACACCCCAGGGGTTCAAATGATTACAAAAGTGAGAAAAGCACAGTAATGGGTACCTGGGGTCATTTATCACTCTCCCTACTTTTTTGTACATTCTTTTTTTTAAAAGTAATTCATCTTACTGCTCTCTAGGGCTCCAGACTATACATTTCCATAAATTTATGAAC